ATGTTGGAGGTGTCGGCGGAGCACTTTGATGGATACAGAGGGCCTCCCGTCATCTCCATTTCCGATCGGAGTCGGTAGAGTTCGCCAGAGTTGTTTGCTATTCTCACAGTCAAATCATAGATGGAACTAGAGCTCGACGAAGACGTCCCTCAGATTTTCCCTTTTGTTCATTTTTTTGTTTCAGGATAAAACTAAAAATGCAGATAAAACTTAAAAGTTAAATCAATTTTAAAATTTATTACTGAAAAAAGAAAACAAATAGAAACGACAGTGGGAAAATTTTGTTTGTTGGGTAGCTTCGGTTTGGAATAATTAAAACTAATTCATTCCACATGAGAATTCACGTAGCCCAATCAGATGTAGCGACACCGGTGCAACGATGTTACGGTTTTTATAGCGGTGCCGTAGTATTGACCTTGATTTAACTAAATTTGTAAACATGCTTGATGCATTTCATAAATGGTATAAACAATAATAGCAATTTGTTCGAAGCAATGTGGACCTGGCCAGTTGGTCGGATTCATTTTACATATCACAAAATAATGAGTAGTAAAAGTCAAACAAAATACATTTTTATTTGGTAGCATAAGAGAATCCAAATTATTTAGTAATTTGTAACATTCAAAAGGATTAACATCATAGTATTTTCTAGCATTCTAACCAGTTCATCAGGTAAAATCCTTAACATAAAAGGCAGACTTCGAACCAAGGAGCCAACTCCTAAAAACTTATTAAAATGACACTTCTATTTACTCCACTTTGATAGAAATTACTGCATATTTTCTTGGCTTTGTTTGGTTTCCTCTGTCATGAGCATATCATAATCTCCATCAATAACAACGCATTCATTTCCTTTAGTGACACTGACACCTCTATATCAATTATCAATTGTCTCTTCCTTATTTTATTGTATTCCAATGATCTCTTCTTTCTTCTCGTGCATTTGATTGAATTTAAAAAATTAATCGTAGAATATTATCAAATATATATCACCATTTTTTCTAAGTAGAATTTACCTCGTAAAATTTATGAATATTTTCCGCAATTTTCTTTATTTCGCTAATTATAGGTACATGTTATAAGGAACAATGAGCCAGTTATCAAGTGAGACTATACTCATGATGATTCATTGATTGTTTTCTTGACGCTGATACCTTGAAAAATCATTATCATAAGTAGTTGTTTGCTCGCGGTTCTTCCTAGGAAAACATTTGGAACATACACTATTAGATGCACATGGAGCTTTATGTCGTTGAATGCCATATAGACCATGAAGCATAAAATTAGTAATGGCTTCATAAAATTCAATATCTACTTAGATATGAAATTTCATCAAATATAATTGAATCCATTTTCAAAGGACTATAGAATTTATCTTCCATATATAGAAATACTAATAAATGAGTATGAGGTAGATAACTTTTTTTAAAATTCATTTGCCTACACTTTTAAAGTGAAAGAAATTATCAATAGCCATCTGAACTGAAAAATAATTATCAAACAACTCTTGAATAAAGAATGATTAAAGTAAACCTATAGAATATAACGTACACGGGACATGTCTGCTCAAAACAATTCTCATTCAACAATTTATTTAGCTCCAGTTTTTTTTTGGTAATGATGTAATTCATTTATTAATTAAAGTGAGAATTACAAAAAGAAAGAAAGACCAAAAGGAAGACCAAAAAAGGGACAAGGCCAGACAGGCGGCCAACATTAGAAAAGCTCCAACCAAACCAGAGTAAATATATACGGACAAATAGACAAACAAGTCTCCAAGGATCAAACATGGCAATCACATACGCGAGACAAACAGGGACAGGACACCAACTAACAGCATCTGCAACTGAAAGAAAGAAAGGGAAGAAAGATCCAAGCTTGATCCAAGTCCCGCTGCAAGGAGCACATGATCAAGCAGTGAACAGGACTGGGCACTTGTGCAGCGCCGATTACGGCCTGGGAAGACCAGTCAAAGTGAGGGCCAACCTGAGATTCTCAAGCCAAGCCTCAACTATCTGCTTGTCGATTTTACCAGCCACCATGAGGCACTCTGCAATAAGCCTTCCAGTCGAGAGAGGAACGATGTGTGGTGTGGTCCGCCTGTCCTCGAAAATCCTATAATTCCTTTCTCTCCACACACACACACACACACCAAAACAGCGCATGAATCAAGGACATAGTACACCACTCTCTCGGTTCCTGCGGCTTCTGGCAAGGCCAACCTCTAATAACTTGTGCAAGGTCTCACTGAAGGTGACTCCCTCAAACTGGGACGAACCTTTTGATGACTTCCCACACGGGAGAAGTGAAGCTGCAGTATAAGAACAAGTGATCTGCGTCTTCTTCCTTCAGCAAGCAAAGAGGACATCTTCTAGGGAGGTTCCAACCTCTGCGTTTGAGTGCATCTTGAGTGAGGATTATCCGTTGATAAGCCAACCACACGAACAAGCAGATTTTTGACGGTATAGGTGGCTGCCAAATGATCTTGTAGGGAAAATCAACGACATCCAAACCTGTTGAAACATCTGAATGAGCCTCTTTGGTGAGTTGCCGATACATACTGTGCACATAGAAATGCTGCTCAGAGTTTAGCAACCATGAAATCCTATCATCCCTTGCAGAGAAAACATAACTTTGACCTGCAATTAGATTAAACAAGCTCTCTCTTTCTCTCTCTGCCCCGCCTCTCAAATGAAATATAAGTGGAATATCAAAGGACAAACTATCATTAACTCAAAAGGATATCAGGAAGTCTTGCGCGGGGGTTCTCAGTAGCAGCCACAACTCGAGGAAAGCAGTCAGCAAGGGTGATCTCTCTTATCCATCGGTCCTTCCAAAAGGAAATTCCTTCTCATGTGCTTCCGGGGCTAATGACAGCGTACTTCCAGAACTCGCCTTTCAGTTTGTATATCTGACTCCAAGGGCTGCAAACTCTTGCGATGACATCAACTCTATTAGGATCTTTCTTAAAAGTAGTTTTCATCCAATCAACCATGTATTGAATATCGGGCCTCGAGTTTACATGAAAATGTAACAGAAAGACCAAGATATATTCCCATACATAAATGATCATAACATGCTCGAAGCTTTCATACTTGCTTTGAGAACTACACTGTACGTGATGATGTCAAAATGACATGTTTTCTATCCAACCTGGTTCGATTCATCTCTGATGTAAGAATTCAAAAGACCTTTGTAGTAATGTTGTTGTTGCTTTGTTTGATTTCTTTTAATCCAATCTTAATGCTCAACCACAACCAAAGGGTACACAGTCACAATCATGGTGTCATTCAATTTATCCATTGCATGTCAAAATATTTGTACTAATAGTAATATACCCTCAAGTCTAACATATCTTACAATTGCTAAATAATCGTAAAGGATTCCAAACTGGATCTCTAGAGAAAGAACTTATAGTTTTTAGACTTTATTGTCTATGTCATGGATGTAGACTTGAAATATTTTTGGTAATGTTCCTTTCAGTAGGTACCAGTGTATGAACTTATTTTATACTTGACCTTCAATAGGAAAAACATATACTCCACGTACATCATTTATAAATAGGTCAAGTTTGCCTCCAATAGAAGTTAATGAGAATACTCCATTATAGTCACGTATGTGTTCTATTATGATATTTTAACCCTCTGATGATTCTTTAGAGGAGGGAGATTCACTTTTGCTTGCTCTGCAACATAATGAAAACTTAGTGTAATTGGAATTTCTTGTGGGTTTCCTACTTTTGTCCTTCCACATCAGTACTACACAATATTCAAATTTATATGATGAATGTCGAATATCAAACACTTTAACAACTACAATAAAATAAATTCATAACTAAGAGAAATAATTTGATAAAGAAATTTAAAATTAATTAAAGAAGAAAACTCAAATATTGTAAAATCTAGAAACATGTAAAATCTCTAGAAAGCATGACCTGAATATGATTATTACAATTTTTGCCAAATTTGATGGATCTTAACAATCCATCTCCCTTAATATGCTAGTTATGCATCTCATGTTGAAGCCTTATATAGAAATTCACAAACTAAATTTTTTTGCAACCAACATAGGATAATATATAAATTGAAAACAAACATGAAATCAATTGATTGTCATTAGGAATATTGATAATTCCCATTTTTTTTCTTATGTAAAGAGCATATTTCTTTCTTGGTGATCTTATCAAGGGTCGATCAATTCTCTTCAACTCTTATTTGTGTTGTTTAATTTATGAAAATGTAAGAGAATGGAGTGGGTCTTAACCTCCATATATTGATTGGAGGAATAGTTTTACTCTCTGTTTTTATAACCGGATCGAAAGCTGAACCGGAAAAGTTAGTGGTTTAGAGTTTAGTGGTTAAACGTATAAGACTTGTATAGAATAGTTTATGATATATAACATATAAGACTTGTATGGAACAGTTCATGATATATAACATATAAGACTTGTATATTACACTAATTTAAAAATGATGTTATCATTGACCATAAACAATTTCAAATTCATATCATTACCAAAATATCTAATAAATCATTCAAACCGTCTCACAAAATAAATCATAATTTTTTAACTCAAGTTAAAAATTATGGTGCCAGTCGGTTGTAAACTACATAAAAACGGCAATAAGGTTGGAAGAAGAAGCATATATAAAATTAATAATCATGGCTGGAAGATCTTAGTTTACTTTAAAATATTTTCTTAAAAATATTTGTGGTTAAAATAGTGAACCAGTGGACCAGTTAAATCGTGGTGGTTCTTCTGATTTTATGTTGAACCGTGAAAAATCTTTTGATCCATCAATAACCGTCCAAACACTAAACCGGACAGCTATCGTAACTAGTTTGACGGTTCTACTAGCCCAGCCGTTAATCCGGTTCGGTTCTTACTACTTCTTATCCTAAAAGATGTATATCTTTTGTTTATTCTCCGGAAGCAAACCGCTTCATACATACATATATATATAAGATATATACATATTCTTCAAAATCGGCGTCTCGTCCTTTTAGGGTTTTGGTTACCTGCGCTGCGGCCTCGGAAGTTTGGCATGGCAAACATGTCTTCTCGTCTTCCTCCTCCTCTGCCAGTTGATCGATCAGGAGAAGATGGAGACCTAGACCTCCCGACGGTATATTGGGGTCTTTTGGGGGCAGTCTCCGCTATGTGGATCGGAATGGCAATCATGTTTTTGAACGATCCCGACTCCAGGTTTGGGCCGCCGCTCTCTTTATGGATCCCCTTCTTGCTCGCGATACTCCGTTTCCTCTCCATCCTCTGCTTGTTCCAGCTGCACCACGACGATGACTCAGCAGCAGCAGCGGCCGTGGGACCCGCCGGGAAATTCGCGCTGGAGATTGCTGCCCTGCTGGCGGCGCTGCTGGCAAAGTATCTATCCCCTAGTAGTGCTGGCGGCGGCGACGACCACACCTACGACGTGTTTTTTTGCTTGATATCTGTAACGACGCAGTTCTACGTTCACATCAAGTCCTGGTATGCTCTCTCTGACATCGGCTTGCGAGATGTCTTGTTGGCCGCCTTGATGCAAAGTTCCATTTTCTGGATCCCGCGTGACATCGAGTGGGTCGTTGAGGTCGTGTGCGTCGTCCTCGTTGCCCACCGCCGCTGCTGTGATAATAACCCGAACCAACATCGGAAATATACTGCTGTTGCTCCGGCGGATGACTTAGTAGTTTGATACTACATCTCTTTTTTTCCCCTTCTTTTCGTTGAACCATTATTAGAATTTCATAGGGGACTTCGTTTCTTTCCAATCAGAAGAACTGATGTGACCGCAATTTTGTTGGTCGCACGACCCCAATTGTTTAATTTGTACGGTGAGAGAAAAGTAAGAGATCAAAGAAGCCATTCTTTTAGATTGTATCGCGACATAACTAAGTACTACACACAGATTAATTACTACGTAATCTTTACTTATGGAAGCAAAGCAAAGCAAAGCAGCATATTAGGTCTACAAGTGTACTCGGTAGGTACTGTGTAAGCTAAACTTCACTAGAGAAGTAGTAGAGATCTCTTGGGCCTTGGCCCATACAATCTTATGTCTGTAAAAGACATCACGAATGTCCAACCAAATCCCAATTCCCGATCTGTTTTTTGGGCTTGGCCCATTATATCAGCTCACGACGGTGAAACTGCAAATTTCTTCTATATAAGCGCTCTGATTACTGAATAGGATTTCGCGAATAGGATACAAATATATTTTCTTTCCTTCTTCAGAAACTGCCTCATTTTTCATGTAGATCAGCTCTTGGCTTATAACGTTGCCGCAAGCTCTGCATAATAATAGTTAAGCATATTTTGATAAATAAATAAAAAGAAACTGGCTCATAGAGTCATAGTTAATGGTTTAACTCCCATAATTTATTTTATATGGGAAATTCTAATACACAGTGCATTATAGTAAATTTTTTCTATTGTTTGAAAAGAAAATTGGATAATATAGAGGAAAGTGGGATAAATTGCAAGTTTGGTCACTAGAATTGCTTAAAAAGTTCATGTTTGCCACTAAAATTAAATTATTCCATCCGTAGTCACTTAAATTAGTTACACAGTCCAAGTTTGGTCACTCTCTGTTATCTTCCGTTAGACTCCGTTAGTGCTATCAGTCAACTGTTACCGTGGCTAACAGAGATGCTTAGTCACCCAATTTAAACAATTTTTTTTTTTTGAAAAAATCCATATGCCACGTCATTATAACCCAATCGCATAAGACCATGGTAAAGGAAACCGTACCGGAAGTCATACCGGCTCCGCCAGTGGTAGGGTATTTTGTGGTACTACCGTGGTTCAATCGTTGTGTACCGGCAAAATACCGTTTTTGTAAATAAATAATATTTTTTTGTGAAAAAACCGTACCGGCAGATTTCTGATACCGTCTCGGAATAATACCGGAATAAAACCGGAATATACCGGATAACAAACCTGAATAAACTAAATAAGCATATGTAATATAAAATTCAACAAACTGCAACATTACTGAATTAACTACATAATCGTTCAAATGCATGTTTACGATCGAGTACAAACAACATTCTTAAACCACAAGTTCAAACAACATTCTCAAACCACAAGTTCACAACTACCACAAACACAAACTAGCAAACACTACAATGTTCACAAACAACGTTTCATATTGTCAAACAACACCAAATGTAGATAAGTCAACATTCTCCAAGTCGTCCCCTTCATCTTCTTCATCACCAACTACAATACAAGAGAAAACAAGTAAGAATTATTATCAATTATTATTAGTAGAATTCATATCATACATAATAGATTTACAAACAAACCTTCCTCTTCTAATGCTCGATCCAGCTCATCAATATCCAATTCATTTTCCCTAGAAGATGAACCTTCTTCCCCTTCTGACAACCAGTGACTAGTAACAGTAGAATCAATGCTTTCAAGGCTTATGGGATCATATGATTCTTTTTTGTTCTTGGTATAATACTCCCTAATCAAAGTAGAAAACATAAAATAATTCAATTCAATAGTAAGCATAGAAAGTATGAATTGAACACACAAGTTATATAATTCAAATCCTTACCTATTCTGCAATCGCAAGTTGTAATTCACAAACACCAAGTTACTAAGCACTTTATGCTGCAATCTGTTTCTTCTTTTGGTATGCACACGTTCAAAGACACTTCAATTACGTTCACAACCAGAAGAAGCAGCAGTTGGGCTAAGAATTCGAATAGCCAACTTCTGAATATTTGGAGCATCAATGCCAAACCATTTCCACCACTTATCTACATATAAAACATAGATGTTTTTTCATTCTAGTGATTCCTCCACCTCTAAATTCTTTTTGACAATAGAGACAAGTGAGTACCTCCACTTTTCCATCCTGATGCAAGGAACAATGAGCCCAAGTTGGATCACTTTTGCTTCGTACACCCTTTGCGGTAACCTTCGGATTACTAGCAGTTGCTCCTTTATCAACCGATCCGGCTTCTTTTCCACTAGCCATTGCTGTCAAAACAGTCAAAATTCTCATTAGAATAAAGGGTTAGAAGAACCAATATTAGTTAGAGAACCAATAAATGAAGCAGATCATGGAAGTGGACGTGATTATTGGACATCATTAACACTCTAAGTAGGCAAGTCCAAGCTGTGACACAAAACAACAAGATGGATTTATCTAGAATTACTCGAAACAGAAAGATCATCTAGATTTATCTAGAATTACACAAAACAACAAGCTGTAACACTATGATGATAATAGTGTTATGAACATTATGTCGATTTGAACCATTATGATCTGAAAATTTTTAGGTTCTCTGACCTCCTTAGAATTACTTCCCACAGCCCGTCTGTCGTACCGGTCAGGCACCGAAATCCGGTTTTACCGGTTCGACCGGCCGGTCCGATCCGGTTTAATTTACTATGCATAAGACACCCAAACCGAACCGTGACCCACCCACCCTTCTTCCTCTATTCGTTCCGTCTCTTCCTCATCTTTCACCGGCGGCCACCACCGCAATTCTCAATCTCCTACAGAATACCCGCCACCCTCATTCATCTTCCCCATAGCTCTTTTTTCTCTTTCTTTCTCCCAAACAAATCGACATTGAAAGTCTCAGCTACAACCAAAGCAAGCAAAGTTTCTTCCTCCTTCCAACCTCAGCTCCACCAACGACACTAGGTCGAACCTCCTTCTTATTCCGGAAAGACAAGGAATCAATTTCTTCCGGCGTCGTCGTCGCCAGTTGCCATCTACACCAAATCGACCCATCGGAGGTAGCAGAGAAGTAGGCTGGGGTCGTTTCTAGCTTGGGGATCTTGCCCAACCACAATTTCAATCCGTAGATCTGGACACGAAATCGAAACTTCTCGACAATCTGTTGATACGTCGGCGGAAAGAGGCGGGTGCGTCTGCCCTTAATGCGAGGCCAGAGAAAGGGAACACCCTTGCTCAATAACTCCCTCATCGATGGCCGATTCTCGAGATGGATATGAAATCAGGCTGAGCGTCGATTGATTTTAGGGATTAAGAAAGGAAGAAAAGGGAAAGAGAAGATACCAGAGACGAAGAATATGACAGACGAAATGAAAGAGCAAGATTGTACAACCACAATAGGACCCATTATACATTTATACTCATTCAATAGTTGAGTCCTTCTTCTTCCTTTCACAAGCTTAAGGCTATACGACCAGAACCGAGGGATTGAAAACCTAAGAATAGATGGGGTAAATACAGGGCGAAAAACAAACTAAAAGAAAAGAAACACCCAAATTGACATCTCTAATCAGCATCCTTGAATGGCTCGCGTACACTGATTTGCGGAGAGTTGCATGCCATGGAAACCCCGAAATCCGTCCCTTCCTCTCGAATCGAGCGGAGCCGCCTGGGGAATTTTAGAGTCGTGTTGCTTATCATGACATGGAAGGGGGTTTTACCCGTCAAGAGCTCCAGCAGCTGGACACCACACACAAATCCATCGATTTTTCCCCAAACCATAGATCGAGCTCTGCTGCCGCCCAGACCCTCGAGCTACTCCGCCAACAAGGCCTGCCTGCTCCTCTTCTCAAGCTCCGCTGCCATCGAAGAAGAAGAAGAAGAAGAAGAAGAAGAAAGCAGAGGGCTTCTTTGACGAGATTCAGAGAAGAAGAAGGGAGACAGTGGTCGGTTCATAGATTTGGAGAGGCCGGGTCAAATAGTTGAAGAAGATGAAGGGTTGGGGTGGGTTTGGTTTGGTTTGGGTATCTTATGTGGCGGGTTTAATGACGTGGCGGGTCGGTTTTTAATTTTTTCCAGTTTAAATTGGGTGATTGGATACTTCTGTTAGCCACGTCAGCAAAAAACTAACGGTGTTAACGAAGACTAACGGAAGGTAACGGAGAGTGACCAAACTTGAACTGGGTAACTAATTTAAGTGACTGTGAATGGAATAAATTAATTTCAGTGGCAAACGTGAAATTTTTTAGTAATTCTAGTGACCAAACTTGCAATTTAGCCAGGAAAGTGAGTTGGAAAGCCGAGAAGCAAAGTGAGGCGGGAGCCGGAAAACCCTAATCGGCAAATGAGGCCCCTCCATTGAACGACATGTGTCACCAGCTCCAAGGTCCCACGACACTCGATTTTCCCCTTCTGTTGTGTGTTCCTTGTCTCTCAATCATAATAAAACCAAAGAAACAGAGTCTCCCCTACAACCAAATTCCTTTTCCCCCGTTACCTCACCGTCGGAATTTCCACCCTAATTCCTTCTTCCCCTGAGCTCTATCTCATCTCTTCTAGTCTCGTCTCGTCTCTCGCCAATAGCGGATTGACTGACCGGATTTGGTCTTTGCCTTTTCTCTTGTTTCTTCTGCGTGACGAAGATGAAACAGGAGAACAACTGCTCTCTACCCGCTTACTTCGAAGAACACAAGTACGAAGTCGCCTTAATTCTGCTTGACCTTCCTCTTCTAATCGCCCAGTCCAAATTCGTCGTTGATTCGTCGAATCATTCCATCCCGTTGTTCTGGTCCGGCAAGAGGAAGAGATCTTCTCTCTCTCGCGGAGGCCGAATCGATTCCTCGCTCTTATCTCCGAGCCCGTCCCTTCAGCAGCCGATGGCAGCGGAGGTGAAAATCTCGGCGGTGAGAGGAGAACCTAAACCAAAGGAGAAAAAGGTGGGCAGCCCTACCACGCCGCTTTCCATGTCGGTGAGCGAGGCGGAAGAATCCTGCGAGAAGCCTGCCCGCTGTAAACGGAGAGGCTCCCTCGCCGTCAGCAAAAAGGTCAACGCTTCGTTTTTCCCGATTCTTTTCTTGCTGGGTAGATTTGACCTTTTTATCCTTCCTTTTATCCTTATCTCATTCTGAATTTCAGCAGTGGAGAAAGGATTTGATGGAGAGAGTAGCGGAGAGCGAGGAACAGGGGAAAGTTTTACAGAAGGTAAGTTGGAAGTTTTCCCTCTTCTCTCTTTACTCTGTTCCCACATCCCATCTGTCGAATATTCTGTATCAAGCTGAAAATTTACTTTGGGATTTTGGATTGAACACATGAGATTGAGAATGTAACGCGTTATAACAAAATTTTTGAAGAGGAGAACTCAAAATTGAAAGTCATTGAACGATAGGTAATTCTTCTTCTTCTTCTCCCACTTCCTTAAGAAAACCCTGTTCATAGAAAGCTAAGCAATTCCTCCCCTGATTTCTTCCTATTGGAATTTGCAGTTGAGGCTTGGAAAGGAAGAGGGAAGGCCTGGTTTAATCGAAGCCCAATACGCCCAATCGAGAGCCGGTTAATTTGATGTGAGTGAAAATGAAGGGGGTGAATTGCAGAGTCGAAAGGTTTGGTTTGTGGCGCCGTGTTCGTCGAGCTGCAGCAGTAGTGGTAATAATAATAATTATTATGGTAGCGGGATAGGGATTGATCTGAACAGTGAGAGTGGGAATGTAGGTGTGTGTTTTCCGGTGGAGGAAGGGAGGTGGGATCCGATTTTGGGGGATTCTTGGCGGCGGCCGTTTGATGATTTGGTGTTGAGGGCGGCGACGGCGGCGCAGGCGAGGAAGAGAAGGGTTGATAAGATGAAGGAGAAAGAGCGGCACCGGGGGTTAAATTTCCGGGCCAGTAGTGGTGGTAGACTGATACTAGCAGTAGAAGGGTTAAACTAAAAGAAACCAATCTATCGGTCCAGGATATTTGGGCTGAAAATTTGTATTTCTTATAGTTATGGCCTGCTTTGTTGCAGTCTAATCGAGTTTGGGCTGATAAGCTCTACAAAATCTACTTTTTCTGCCGAGGTTGGCTGGTGAGCTTATAATCAAGCTCTTTCCGAGCTTAGTGTGAGTTGAGATCGAGTTGAGAATTTGTGTGACGAGTTGAGATCAAACTTGATAAGTCAAAATTTGTGACAAATTCGAGCCGAGTTCGAGTTGAGAATTTTAGCTTCAAGCTCTAGCTGAGCTGTCACAAAAATCGGTTCAGCTCGGCTTATTTGCACCTAAATTTGTTGACTTTTGTTTCTACATCCCAATTAGATTAATCAACTAGATTATGAGTTTCTAAACTGTTGTCAGACTGTGGTATAAAGTATGTTTACACTTTACACCATTGTTTATGTATTATTAGAAGGGTTATAGGTATAATATGCCCCTCTACTATGACGTTTTATCAAACATGCCTTTCTACTATTTTTTACATCAAACATGCCCCTATACTTTGTAAAAATGATCAAACATGCACTTTTGTTTAAATTTTCATCCAAAAACCGTTAGCCAAGGTTGAACTTTGTTTTGGGCGGCACAAATGTCTAAAACATCCCTAATAATTTCACTTTTAATTTTTTTTTGTCTTTTTTATAGCCAAATAATTCAAATAATTTCACTTTGAAGACACCCAGAGAAATACAACGGGAGATAAAACTGACATTTTCTCTCCCATTTGCCGATGTCGGGTCGTCTGAATCTCGGTTCAACCATGATTGACGATTTTTTCAATGAAAATTTTAACATAAGGGCATGTTTGATCATTTTTTCATAGTACAAGGACATCTTTTATGTAAAATATAGTAGAGGGGCATGTTTGATAAAACGTTATAGTAGAGGGACATATTATACCTATAACCCTTATTAGAATTATTAAGCCGTGAGTTCTTACAAAAAGAAAGGGTTAAACTAATATGATAATGTTGTGTGGTTTTTACCTAACTAATTGTATTATTATGATAATCGGCTAATCGGCTAATCGATTATTAATGGGTTAATAGCATTTTATACCCCTCCATTATTGTAAATTAACAAACGTACCCCTCTACTAAATTTTTGCACAAACATACCCTCACAATATTAAAACATAACGAGTATACCCTTCCGTTAACTTATCTGTTAATCGGCTGTTAAATGGGTTGGCAAATGACCCAAATGCCCCTAACTTAATCTTAATTCATTATATAATTTTTGTTTATCACAACCCAATTTAACATTAAAACACACTGTACTGGTCTCCTCCACTCCCCCGATAGACTCCAATAGACCTCTGCGGCGGCTGTCACCCGGCTCTTCCTCACCACCGGCTGGAATGAGAAAGCAGCGATTAAGACGGCGAGAGAGGCGGATGGTGCAGGAAGACAGCTACCAGCTTTCTCCCGGCGAAGAGCGATGCCTACAGCTTCTTCTCCTTCCTTGAAGAAAGAATTGTCCCCACCCAACCACAAAACCCCTTGCTCCCTCCCCCCGATTCCTGCCCCTCTTTCGTTTTGTCAGAAACTAATTCTCTTTATCCTCATTGATTGTGTTTTCCATGAATCTTTGATGGTGAAAAATGCCTTAACTCAATTTGACAATTCCAATTCACAAGGATTAGGTTTAAAAGTGGAAGTTGGATGCAACAGCCGAGAGGAGATTGGTAATTTGGGGGGTGGGGGATTCTTTGTCGACGGAGAGGGAGGGAGCTACGAACGTCGCCCTCTGCTCCAGTTGTTGATGCGGTAATCGTCGCCGGCGAGGAAGAGTTGTGTGCAGCCGCCGCTTAGGGTGCGCCGATGGGGGGAGTTTCAACGGAGTTGGGGAATGAGGCAGACGAAAGGATGGAGAGTCGGCTTGGAGGCGACTGTTTAGGGCGTGTTTTAATTTTTTTCCAGGAATTTGTGTTTTAATTTTAAATTGGGTTGTCATAAAAAAATTATAATGAATTAAGATTAAGTTAGGGACATTTGGGTAATTTGCCAACCCATTTAACAGCCGATTAACAGATAAGTTAACGGAAGGGTATACTCGTTAGGTTTTAATATTAGGAGGGTATGTTTCTGCAAAAATTTAGTAGAGGAATACGTTTGTTAATCTATAATAGTAGAGGGGTATAAAATGCTATTAACCCATTATTAATCTACATTTTGATTAAGTTGCGTATCAGTTACTTTTTTCTTAAGAAAAACAGCTCTAATGAGTTGAAGTTTTCACAGTGCGAGTTGTTAATTTTGTTTTATTAGTAGATTACTTCCGAGTTGTTAACTTCCGTGTAAAGTATGGGCTCATGTTGGGCCGGGAAAAGTACGGCTCAAGGCTGAGGTACAGCCCAATGTATCAGATTGATACTAGTCACGTGCCCTGCCGGTTGGCCGGATTCGTTTATAAATCATACCAGGCTGTGGTCGAATGAATTTTTTAAACTCTGAACTTTCCCGTGGATTTGTCCCAATCGTAAAATTGGAGGCTTTCGGACAATGAGAGACGAATTTATCCTTATTGTAAGGAATCACACATTCATAGTCCATATGGATTTTACTTCTTCCTCGACCAAGTGGGGAAGTAACGAAACATTCTTGTCTCCTAACCCAAAATTTTAACAAAAAAATGAAGAATTAAATTCGAAAAAGGTAAAAGAGAACACAACTTCAAGAGGCTTCTCCACCACACAGTTTACCCAGTTCAAGAACTTTGAGCTGAAACTCCATTGTGTTGTGCAGACTGCAGAGGGAGTTGACGACTATGCAGTCCAAAAAAAGCAATGTTTGAAGCCCCTGCTTCAACCAATCATTTCATCGAAAAAGACTTTTACCTTAGTCAATTTACATAGTATTTTGGAGAGCGTTCATGTGTGGATGATGAAGGAGTACGGTGTGGAGAGTACGTCGGATGCCTCATCATCAGATACCATCATCAGCCAATAGTGGCTTATATTAATGGTTTCCGCTGTTGCCTCTTGAGAAACCTTAGAGGAAGAACAAACATAGCCTTTCATTCAAGAAAAACAACAACATAGTACCAAAATCATTACGAAATGAAGAGAGAAGAAAATTGTTTAATCGACATCCTTTTTAACCATAAATATAAAAAGAGAATAAAATAGTTCAAAGGTTTGTTTGGGAGAGATGGCAAGAGGGAAGAGTCTCGGTCCGTCCGGCAGCCCAATCCGACCCGATGACAAAGTCAGCAGCGACGTTAAGAACTGCTAGCAGTGAAGCTCTGTATATATGGCTTCTTAAGTAAAATACTCGACTCAAAAGCCAATGCAAGCAAGTATATGTGTAATTTGAGTTATAGGAGTTCATAACTCACCAAAGAAAAAGGATTACAGTTGTGTACCTTACTGTCAATCACTTAATTGTATTTGAGTGGTGGAAGAAAGACTGGTGGAGCAGTTGCGCTCGAGTGTTGGTATTGTTGTTTTCAAGTGGTGAACTGGTGGTGTCTGTGATTAATCAGATTACAATTGATTACAATTTGAAGCTAAAAAAACACAGTGCATATATGACATACAATCCGACGAAAACATGAAAATGAGAACAAAATGAGTATCCATTCGTCCAGAAGCATCCAAAGATAGTCCATTCAGCAGCTGTTTGAATGCAGAAAGAGGCACAAATAGATCCTTACAAATATCATAACTGATGAGTATTTCAGCAAACGGCCATATATTTGGCAAAATAATTGAACTCTTCCCACCAAGCTCGATAGATACAGGCTGTTCTATAGAGTTAATCGCTTTCTTTAATTTTCAAAACCTATACTTGCAAATAACATTATTACAACACCATCAGCTAGATAAACTAAGAAGATGTCACTGGTCATCAAGAAAAGTAACATACATGCACCTTCCTATAAATAACAAATAACATCAAGCAATGGCGTCTAGAACAAACAGAGACTGCTTACACTTCATGAATTCGCCCTTTAGGAAGACGTTTAATTATTATAGGAAAGAACTCTTGTGCATTTCTTTGAAGATTATAGCTGTACCACCTCTCAGGGGAAGTCGCCTTTAGCATGATTTAGCATTTTTTCCCTCTTATTGTAAATGATGTTACCTGCTCCCCCTAGCAGACCATCAGAATCACTCCTTGGGATCCCAGCCATTTGTTGTTATCTATTTGAGCCCATTCCCATTTTTGTTTTCACCTCATTGCTATATCGCTAACTTAACTGCAACGAAAACTAAACCCGCATGATGTCCCTCTCTCATCAAAAGAGTAATAATTCAGCATCGACGATGGAAAAAATCACATCTGGCAGAATAACTCATTGGGATCCCAGCCATTTGTTGTTATCTATTTGCGCCCATTCCCATTTTTGTTTTCACCTCATTGCTATATCGCTAACTTAACTGCAACGAAAACTAAACCCGCATGAGGTCCCTCTCTCATCAAAAGAGTAATAATTTAGCATCGACGATGGACAAAATCACATCTGGCGAAACCATTATCTATTCAGACTTCATAGAATTCAGGCAAACCCATGGTACCAAATGAACACAATTGCATTTCCACAATGTTAATACCATTGGATCATGGAAACAACTCACCGACGGAGAAAGACGGTTAACGATTGTGGTTTCTTCAATCCTAGGGTGCCCTTTTCTTATCCTGTCCAGAACCTGTTCGACGATTTGCCCAGCTGAAAATGGTCCCCTTCATCTTCTGAAAAATGACAACTAAGCTCCGCTCCAGCGGGCTAATGTAACCTGTAATACAGATAACCCATGAGATCGAGTGTATATGCTTTGCTCTGCTAACTAATTGGCTACAAACCCAAACTCTAGACCAGGAAACTTGAGAGCCAATGCCATAATTCTAGCAGAAGGTTTTACTTTTTACCAAGAAAACCCGGGTGCTCCTGGTTCTTTTGGTACGGTGATCGAAAACAGCAAAGGCAGTCAGAGAAAACAGCAGGGCGGCGTGGAGACGGCGGCCAGCAGAATTGACGATCGAGCAAGCTAGCGGGTGGTTTCAATTTTCAATTGCATAAATTAATAACTCACCAATTGAAATGATGACTCCGAGTGACTCTGATTAATAGAATTATCTCAAGGGAGTGTGCTGCTGCTGTTATCTTTGAGTGGTGTGATACGATCCTGGAATCGATCAAATTTCATCCAGGATTAATCGTTAAAGAGGCCAAGTCGAATTGCAAAGAAGAAGCTGAAAATTGTCCAAGTCACTTTCCGTGTTCAAGCAGCCGACTTTGGAGGCATGTTTCTCTTAATTGGCTCAATGTAAATTCAAGTTTAATGGCTTTTGTTGAACATGGAATGATTATCTACACATTGGTATGCTTGGTTGCTCAAGAAAAAGTAATTAAGGTTGTTTTCCAAAGTCTCAAAGTTGCTACCTCAAAACTGGAAAACTGCCAGAAAATGGCTAAGGCAGAAAACTGTGTTGAGATACCAACTTTGAAGGCCTATATCTGGAGATTGGAGAATGATCTTGGGCTGATTCAAGTTGGAGGTGAAATAGGAAGTTTTCTTATACAAAGGAAAGGGATTGGTTGAGTTTGAATCAACCTACAAAACCATTTTCGAAGGGCTCAAAGATGCTATGAAGCCTGTTTTCCTAGGCAGACTTGCTTGTGTTTTAAGTCAGTTTCTTGGCTTGCAAGTTACCTTGTTTTACACGAATTCTTTAGCCTTTTCCTGTTCTAATTAGTTTCCTTGTTAGTTTACAATTGTATTAGGTTTTCTTTGGCTATAAAAGCCCTCTAGTTTTCGTTGTAATAGTTAGAGAATTGTTCAATAAAAATTACTCCGAGGAGTTTATCCCATTGAGCTTGCGAGCTTGATTTTTGGTCTTGGATTCGTCCTAGGCTTGCAGACTTCTCTTTCAAGTCATTCATACTTGTTTGAGTAGTGATTCTACCTTTCGAAATCGATTGAGCTTGTCCCCAAGTGAGGATTTGTCCTTTCGTTTCAAACTCATCCCAAATCGTACTAAGCACGTCATGTTCTTATGGTTATCAATTCAATTCAATCCTTTGAGTTGAATTAGCTGCGTTACTTTGATAAAAATACACCCCAGGGTCGTATTAAGTGGTATCAGAGCCCCGTTCTACACAAGGGCGAAGAAGAAGAAGCAATCGACTGTTTTGGTACAAGCAAATTCGAGTTCAAACAGGGCAGCCCCTGTTTCATAAGTTCCAGGTGCTATTTCGTGTAAAATCGTGATGGAAAACTCCCTTCGAGCAAAGGAGTTGATAGAGGGCAGTACCATGGAGCAAGAGGCACGAGTTCAAGGCCAAAAGAAGCAACCAGCGGTCGTCATTAAACATCGTGAATCTGACGAGCAAAGAGACAATCTGTTCCATAGTCGCTGTTTGATCAATGGAAAAGTGGTTTCGATGGTTATTGATGGTGGAAGCTGTGCCAATCTCATCAGTATGGAGGCCGTACAGAAGCTTGGACTGAATACGCAGAAGCATCCCCTACCTTACAGTCTCAGCTGGATCAACGAACATGGAACCATAAAAGTTACGAAACAGGTTCAGGTTAGTTTCGAAATCGGCAAATATAAAGATGAGGTTTGCTGTGATGTTGTGCCAATGCAAACCGCATACATCTTGCTTGGTCGACCTTGGCAATTCGACCGTAAGGTCACACACGAGGGCTGGACCAATCGCTACAAGCTTCCGTATCAAGGTAAGACGATTGTGCTGAAGCCCCTTTCTCCGGACGAGGTATATCAGGATCAAAAGCAAATGGAGGACAATCGAGCAATGGGCAAGGAGTCCAAGGCTCAATTATGGGTTCAGAGACGCATTGGGTTCAATTTTATGAGCTATCGAAAGCTTCAGAAGGCTGTTCCAGAGCTGGAACCAGCGACTTGCAACGACCCCTGTTTTGCTCCGACCAAGCAGAGTACTGATTTTGGCAGCTCTGTCGACGACGACGAAGGGGAATCCAAGCATAAAGAGGCACCAGACGCGTCCATAGGGTCT